GTGGATTTCGGCACTTTTGCCGAAATCGCGCTGGCAGCTGGCCAGCCACATCGCCGGCCCTGCATGCCCTCGCGCGTTACTGCGTTCTGCTGCCGTGACGCGTGCTGCTGTCAATGGATGAACAAACTGACGTTGCATGGTGGTTTTGGCTGTGCCAAACCACCATGTAATGTCTGTTGGTAGCGGAGCTTGGGATCTTGTCGCCGCCGACAGCGCTGCCACATACTTTTCAATTGCATCTCACAACACGGCCGTACACCAACCCTGAGTCGGACCGCCCGGGATCCAGTGGCCTGGGTGCACATGCGTTGCACCGTTGGTGGTGCCAAAACCTTTTGTGTGAAATTCCTTTGTGCGTGTGTTTTTTCCTGGCTCTTAATCACGCTGTCTGCTCGCCAGAAGGATGCGGTTTCAAGTGCCCCGCTGTGGAAGGAAGCACGTAACATCGCGCCCCGTAGAAGGCCCCGGGACAGCCCAAGAGATCGGACATATTGGGCGCCACATCGCCCGGGCGCCCCGCAGATCAGCGGCGGGCGCGCCCCACATCAGAAATTGGAGGGAAAAGCTGACCCAAGCCTCACGCACGTCATGTGCGGGGCCCCCTCCCAGCAGGAGCAAGTCATGTATTGTGACGCTGCCTCGCAGACGTCCGAGTCTCACCTGAACAGCAGCGAAGCCGGCACCCGTCTATGGCATGACTGTACCTCGCGGCCGGTGACGGCGTCCATCCAGCACACCTTCAGGACCCGCAGCGGCGGAGGGCGAACTACCGTGGACGCTTACCAGGCGGCGCACGAACCTCGTGGTGAAATTTGCGTGCGGGCGCCCCGGCGAGGGCCAGGTGGTCCGAGGTGTACTGGACTCGGTCGGGTGCTCGCGCGAGCTGCGCCACTTCGGTGGCGTCGGCATGCTGGGCCCTGCAGGGGAAGGGCGCTGCCTGAGGCAGGCTTTCCCTCAGCGAACAGCGGCCTGATGCGGTCCTGTGCTGTTGCTGCTGACTGTCGTAAGATTGGGCCCCATCGGCAGGGCACTGCGGTCAGGAGAAAGCTGACACGTCTCCGACTCGACGTGGGAGGACCGCTGAGCGGGGTCTTTGTGGGCGCTGGCGTGCCTCCTAAGGCGCTGCCGGGATCGTCATGTGTGGCATGCTCCCAGCCGCTCGCCGAAGTGGATCCTCGTGAGGAGGCTACGTCGGGGCCTCTTCGCAGGAATGGAAGCCTGGCGGAAAAGTGTTGTGCCTGAGGCACGCAGATCCCGCCGCGAGGAGTCGCCCTATGCGGTCCCACGCCACTTGGGCCATTGGGCGCGAGGCAAATGTGATCAGAGCGGAGGTCCGAAGGCCCACCGAGGTCACCTTCGGACCCACGGGCCGGGGCCGCTGCTGTCTGCGGGCCGGACCCACGGGCCGGGGCTCGTCAGCAGGGCGCTGCTGTCTGGAAAAGGTTGGGCCGTCTCCGACGCGCCGCGGGTGGAGCGCTGATCGGGGTCTCCGCGGGCGCCGGTGGGGCGGCAGAAGTCCAGCGTGGCCTGTTCGCGGCTGGCACGGCGGGGCAGAAGTCCAGGTTCCTCCGGGGTCGCCCTGCTTGCCTGGGCGGCGAGGTGATTTGAACGAGGAGCCGCAGGAGCAGGAGCATCGTCACCGGGGAGAGCGATGCGGTGGGCCTCCGCGGTGGCGGGGTGCTCACGCCGAGGGCTGGTCCGCGGGGTTCGAGGGGATGGAACCTCGGAGCTCGCAAAGGGCGCGGCTGGCGCCGACGGTGGTCGGGCCTTTGCGGCAGAGGCGGTGACCCTTCGCCGCTCGCGCGGGCGGGGGGGGATGGGGTTCCAGAGGCGTCGGTTTCGCACGCCGGGGCCGGCGGCGCCGCGCCGATAGTGACGGCAGTCGGGGCTTCGTCGTTTGCCGGGCGCTGGATAGGGTGGACCAGCGCTCGCTTCGAGGCAACGCATTGGGAGGGGCCCTGGCGGGAGAGCCGCGTGCCTGAGGCAGGCCTCTCCCGCCGCGAGGGGTCTCCTGATGCGTCTCATCGCCAAGTGGGTCGCTGGGCGCAGGTGCGGGCTCCGCGCTGCTGTCGCCGGCGGCGGCCGATGCAGTGGGCGCCGCGGCCAATGCTGCCAAGTGCCAAACGGCGGCAAGGCCCTGGGCAAAGGCTGCGGCCTCGGCCTGGGCGCGGGCACTGGCCTCGTCAGCGGCGCCGCTGGGCCGTCTGCTGGCAGTGGGCCGTCGAGGGCGACGTCCCCTTCATGTGGAGCAGGGTCGGAGGTCGTCACCAGCGTGCTCACTCGGGGCGTTCCGTGGGCGTCGCCCGCAAGAGGGGCTGGGCCACGTGATGAGGAGCGCCGACAGGGCACTGTTCTGCGCGGCGCCGTGTCGCGCGGCTTGGCGGGAGGGCCGGCACCGAGGGAGAGGGCGTTGTCCAGGTCGATTGTTCGTAAGAGTGGCCCTTCGCCAAAGTGACTCTGGTGCGTGCGGTCTCACTTGGCCCCCCCCGATCGCTGAGCGCCATGCGACAGTGGCTGCTTGCGTGTTTGAAATGCCATTTCTGCCTAGGCTTACTCTTGCGCGTAGCCGACCAGGTCCAGGCCCAGGCCGTTCAGGACAGTTGCCGAGGGATCGGCGGCGGCGGCCTCGGCCACGACATGCGCGGGGGCCTCGTCGACGACGTCGTTGGAGCCGTCGGTTGGCAGGAGGTCGTCGAGGTCGCCGACCCCTGAGCACTACCCCGTGCGCGTGGCAGGGGGTCGGCGGTCGTGGTCGTTACGCTCGCACGGGGCGCTCTCTTCAAGCAGTGGCGAAACGTCCTCGCGTGCCAGGCCTACCAAACAATGTTATAATAACCTTTTGTGGTTTCCACGAAATGTTCTGAGAACGCTCGTGGCTGGGACTATATTGTTTTAACACACCGGGTTTATGTTATAAGAGCATTCTGTTCATAGAACATTTTTGGGTTCTAAGAACATCTCGTGGTAGGCATATCTGAAACTCTGGGAGGGGGAGGTGTCCGGTCCAGGCCCAGGCCCGTCAGGGCGTCTTGACCAGAGATCGGCGTTTTGTGAAGACAGTCGGCTACCGTGGCTGCGGTGTCGCTCCTGACGGGGGCGGTGGGGGCGCGCGGGAGCCGAGGCGCGCGTCTCAGCACACGCAACGGAGCTGAGCTCGCCCGTGTCTGCTGCCGGCGGCACGGCGCTCGTTTTGGCTGCGTCGGTCGTCGTGGCCGCGGCGTCACTCGGGACGGGGGCGGTGGGGGCGCGCGGCAGCTGAGGCGCGCGCGGGGGGCGGACAGCCCAAGAACCCCAAGACGGCCCAAGAGGGCCCCCCATGAGCGCCTCCAGAGGGCTTCGAGACGCCCACGAGGGCCCCATAGTCACCTGAGACCGCTAGCAGGTCCCAAGAGGCCCCAACGGACCCGGAGAGACCCCACAGGGCCCCCTAAACGGCCCCCCGTCAGGCCCCTTACATTTTCACATACATCCAAGAGACTCCCCTGAGCCTTCCCAAGGGACCCCAACAGACATCCAATAGAGTTCTGACCCACAACCCAGCCACGCTTGGGGGCCGGGCGTGCGACAGCCTCGGACGGTCCAACAACCCACTATGGTCCGATTGGCCTTGCCAGGATCGGTCTTGGTGCATTCTTGCAAAACCTACTAATGCTGCTTCTGTTCCTCCCCTCTGTCGACCCTGATCGTTCTGCTGTTGTTTCTGCTGGCTCTCATCGAGAAGGGCGATGGCGACGAGGGACAGGTAGTTGGAGAACACGACGTCCCGCCCTCAACCAATCCCCAAATAACATTATGTGAATGGGGATATTTAGCATCTGCGGCAATATTCTCCCACCCCTTTGGTATCACAACGGGACTTGTGCGTGTGCTTGAGGAGAACCTCAGCGCGCGCGAAGCGCGCGCGTGGTTCTAGAGCACAAATGTGCACATGTATATATATATATATATATATATGTGTGTGTGTAAGTGTGTGTGTGTGTGTGTCTGCACGTTCGTGAGTTAAAGCTATCTTGGGGCGTTTGAGGCGTTGTTGCGAGGGTTTCACGGAGTACCAGAGCCGACTTCATCGAAGGATTTGGGTATTTTCTTCCTGTTTTGCATGTTTGGCAGATCCTGGGGAGTCTCCGTGTGATGGGCTTGTTTTCCACCACCACGATTTCCACCACCATAAGTTGGAGGGGGAGCCTCCAACTTATGGTGCCACCTTCTGAGAAGCAGCCTCCTTCTAAGAAACCCTCCCCGCTCCCTCCACCCCCTTGTGCGCGCCGCCAAGTTCGGGGGGACTGGCAGCACACCCCTCCCAGAAGTTCGGGTGCAGCTCCTGGGAGGTCAAATTCTGCTTCGGCCCTGGTCCGAAATCCCGCTAAATCCGGCTTCATCCCCCTGAATCCCGCTCACTCCGGCTTAACCTCGCCTGATCCGAGGCCCACTCTGAGCTCTACTGATCCTCCTGAATCCTTCCGCCGAAAACCTCCCAGTAGTTGCCTCCTAACAAAAGGGAAGAAAGGGGGTTGCAGAGCAAGCGCCCTACAGTCGAGCACATGATCAAGCAACTTCTGCCCGACAAGCTCAGTCAGCGCTTCTTAACCAACTGGCCAGCGTTGCTTAACAAGCTTGCCTGAAAGCTGTCCCAGCTTCTTGAAACCGTTCGCCCCTCCAGCTTCAAAGACAGAAATTGGCCTGGGCCTGTCTTAAGACATTTCTGGGCAGTGCACCCTGCCCATACCCGTCGGTCGTCGGAAATAGGTATTGTTTTGGATGTCCAGATCCGAGTCTTCTTCTAGCGCCTCCCGATTTCAAGAAGCCATGCGTTTTTGAAATGTTTCGGTCTTGTTTCGGGAGGCTCGGGCTCAATCTACCTTATCCGCTTTCTTACTTTGTGTCTTCACCTACTTCTTCCGACCAGCGTGTAAGGGGAGGAATGGGGGTTGAAGAGCAAGCGCCCTAAGCCACCTGCGCCCAGAACGCCGGTGGGTTCCGCAAGCCGACCCCCTGCGCAGGCTGATGGGCCGAGGAGGTCGTTCTGGGCAATCGGCCGCTCGACGAACCGCAACGTGTTCATGAACAGGCTCGGTCGCCATCAGACGATGGATATGGAAGAAGAACCGAAGCAGAAAACGCTGCGCTCTCGTTGTTATCGAAGACGCCTACGGCGAATCACCACCGTCCCTTGCCTTTTGGAAGCGCTTATGTGTCCGAAAGTTGTGGCCAGAGCTCGGCTAAACTATCGGACTATGTGTTCCTCCAGCCGTTGTGGAAGCCCTTCGGGGAACACGCGTGGGAGGGACAGGAAAAGGAGGAAAATGCAAGAGGAGGAGGAGGAGGAGGAGGAGGAGGAGGAGGAGGGGGAAGCTTCTTCGGGGCTTCTCGGAGCACTGTTGGGACATCGTGGGAGCTTCCTGGGGGCCTCTTGGAGCCGTCGTGGGGGTCTCTTGGGCGCCGTTGGGGGCTTCTTGGAGGCATCTTTGGCCGTCTTGGAGTGTTCCTGGCTCGTCAGACGCCGTCGGAAGGCGTCTTTGGACTCCTCGCCTGTCTGACGCCGTCGGAAGTTCTCTGAACCGATTTGGGGCTGTCTTGGTGCGCTTCAGGGCCGTTTTGGAGGTCATCTTGTGCATGCTGGACGTCTCTTGGACTGTCTTGGGGCCGTCGTGGAGGCCTGCTGGGCCGTCATGGGGCCTTCTTGGAGCCCTCTCGGGTGCTCTTCGGGTGATCTTGGAGGCCTCTTGGGCGGTCTTAGGCCGCTGGAAGGCCGAAAAGAAGCAAATGCACAAATCCGTCGAACAACTAGGACACATCATTTTGATGTTCCTCTTTGGGTGGCTCTGGGGGGGTCTCGTATTACGTCTAGACGGCCATTTGGGTTATGTTGATGCCATTTCGGGTCTCCCTGGGTTCATCTTGGGCCATACTGGGCTCTCTTGAGCTCATCTTGACTGTCTTGGAGACCATCTTGGGCCATCGTGGCTATTTCGTAGGCATCTTGGACGCCAGTTTTGCCCTGTTGGACGAGATTTGACAACGGAGGGGTGCATTTTCCTGGGTTTCTGCTGGGTGGCCGGCCGGGCTGGACCCCAGAAGTCTGGCACGTCGTGCACCCATGTGGCAAGACCACTGGGGGGCACCGTGCTCAGGCTGGCCGAGGAGCTCCTGGGAGCCCCCGGGAGCTTTCGGGAGCTTCCGGAAAATTCCCGGCAAATCCTGGGCGCGGCTTGGAAATTGGGGTTCTGGGCCCTTCGAACCTTACAACCTTTCTGCCTCTCAGGGCTGCAGGGCTGCTGCGTGAGCCTTGGGCACGCCACTACGTGCTCAAGCCACGGCGGCGGATTCTGTGCTGTCACACCCGACGTTCGACGTCGTCCTCGGCGTGGTGATCAGCCTCAATTCCGTCGTCATCGGCGTCGAGCTCACGGTTCAGCCGTCGGAGGGGACCGAGACGCCAGGGTCGCGGATGGTGTTCGGGGCTTTCGAGAATTTGTTTTTGAGCATCTACGTCGCAGAGCTCGTAGCCCGCATCTACGCTTGCGGGCAGTCCTGCCTGCAGAAGCGCGAAGAAGAAACACCACCATGACCACAAACTTGTTGCGCTCAGCGCGGATTTCTTGGATCCGCGCAGTGCTCCCCCCGCGGCGTCTCTGGCGCCGCCCTTGGCGCGCTCAGCACGCCAGGGAGGGGGGTCCAGCGCAGATCCAAGAAACCCACGCGGAGCTCCAAAATTTGATGTTGATGGCGTTTTTTCTTCTTCTAGAATCCCTGGGTGAGGTTTGATTTGTTCCTCGTCGTTCTCGGGGTCTTCGGGTCGTGGCTGCTGCCCCTCGCCATCCTGCTTGCCGGCGACGCCCTGCTGGATTTCATGCCGACGCCGATGTTCTTGCGCATCCTGCGGCTGGCCCGGGTCGCCCGGGCGCTCCGCTTGTTCGTGCAGTTTCGGACGCTCTGGATGCTGGTCTCGGGACTCAGCTCGTCGCTGTCAGCAATCCTGAACGTTTTCATTGTCCTCCTGCTGGTCCTCTTCGTGTTCGCTGCCCTGGGCGTGGAGCTCATCACCAACAACGAGCAGCTGAATGACACCAACCGAGCACTGGTGCAGGAGTTTTTCCCATCCCTGCCGATGATCATGCTCATGCGATGCGCTTCGCGGGGGGGGCACGGCCAGGCGCGACACAGCTAAGGACTTGGGTCGGGAGGCCTGGAGGCCAGAGCTTGCCACCCGCGTCCCACACGGGGTCTCTTCCTTCCTTTGGTCGCCCCCCTCTCCCTCATCCCCCTCCTGGGCCTCCTCATCCACCTCATGGCCCTCCTCATCCACATGTTCCTCGTCTTCGTCCTCCTCGGTCCCTCCATCCCTCTCTCCCTCCCTCCTGCCTCCCTCTCTCCCTCCCTCCCTCCCTCCCTCCTTCTCTCCATCCCTCTTCCTGTCCCGCGCCCCCGGTTGTCTGAGGTTGTCCTTGCTGGCCGTGCGCCGTCTATCGGGTGCCGCGCGGCCCGCATGCACCAGGACTGCCCACGGGGGCTCTGAGGGGCCGCCCGCCCGCTGGCCATCGTGTGGCCCATCGAGTGGCCGCGGCAAGTCCCAGGAGCTGGATTTCGGCCACGGCGAACTGTTGGCCGGAGTGGGTCTTGGACACGCTCCTGGCCTCCTCTCCTCCTCCCCATCCGCCTCCATCATTCGCACCTTCATGATCATCAGCATCAGCATCAGCATCATCACCATCATCATCACCATCATCATCAGCATCATCATCATCATCGTCAGCATCTTCATCACCCGGAACCGTTTCGACGAAGTTCGAACCCAGCGCCCTGTGTGCTCGAACTGGATCGCAGCCCAGGCCCTGGCCCGAATGCCGTGGCCACGAGGTGGCTGTGTGACCCACTGTGTCTCATCCGGTGTGCCAGTTCCTGCCCCTTTTGCTCTCCTCCGCTCGACTGCAACCGTGGCCGTCGATCCCGCGACCCCGAAGAGATTAGGGGGCCAGATGCGAACCCTACCCCTACCCCCCACGATTTCTGAGGGGGAGGGTGGGGTTCACTTCGTTCGACGAAACCCCACCCTCCCCTAGAGATGCTCACCAGACATCTTCAAGCGACTGGACAGATGCTAGACCAACATACTTCGGGTCTCCATGCCACGATCGCCATCCAGGGTCAGTCTGTCGAGGAATCGAGCTCCAGGCGCGATGGAATGGAGGCGAGTGCTGTTGCGTGGGATGGATGCAGCTGAGCAAACTCAACAGATGGCGGTTTCTAGGTTTCCCGCGTCTCATTCAGTCTTTGGCAAGCGGCGTGCTATCGATGCTTGTTCGGATGCTTCGACAGGCACACCAGGGGGAAAGCTCGGTTTCGTTCAAAGATGCCCATCGTTTCTTCGCTATCGGTTTCAAGGATCATCTCAAGGCACAGATCCTTGACCAACAAGCTCATTGCATCATCCCGACGTGTGCAACAGAGACAGGATTAGGAAGGCGGGGTCGCACCGTGCACCCGCGCTTACGACCTCCAGGAGAACACCACGTTGGAATTCCAATGCATTGCCGTGGCGTCTGACTTCTCTGATGACATCCGGAAGCTCTGCGAAGCGTACCAGATGACCTATGTTCGGGGGTTTGCCGACATGTGGTTGCTTTGCGTTCTTCGCATTCCTTCTCCTCGGCGCCGTCCGCTGTTCTTCAAGATGGGTAAGGTCCGTCACGCTGCCCAGGAACAATTGGGAAAGAAGGTTCCTCGGCGAATTCGAACGGGATCGGCGGGGATGTCGTCGGGACGCATTCGGGAAAGGACCTGGTCTCGCTGTTTCATTCCACCAGCTGCCCGCAGAACCCCCCAGGTCATTCACATGTGCCTGTGTGCGACGAGCATGCACGCGCAGGGCTTGGAGCAGCTTGTGCGACAAAGTCAAGAATGAAGCGGTTCCCTCGGGTTCCTTTTCAAGATGAGCTTGACTGGCTCGATCGCTCAAGTCCTTCTTTGGCCTGGGGCCCCGTTGTGCTCAAACACGTTGATGCCGAGGGCTTCGCCTCTGTCAATAGTTCTACTTGTTCTCGGACAGCGGACTCTGAGTCAGATGGGCCAAGAGGCACCCCTCCCGATGGCGGGGGCACGCCATTTGAAGTGTTTTTCCATTCGTCCGCTCCGCTGTCTGCATCCGTCCCTCTCTCTCTCTCTCTGCTTTTCTTTCTCTCCCTCTCTCTCTCTTTCTCTCTATTCCCCTCTCTCTGTAGACATACATGCATACATATATATATATATATATATATATATATATGTGTCGGAAGTCGGGGGGTGAGATCGCAGTGGAACGGAGACCCCCAAACGGGAAATCGTTTCGTTTCGTTCGTGTCGTGCGTGCGGGCGAGGCGAAGCTGCGTGGGAGCGCGAGAGGAATTAACCCGCCGTTATTAGGGCGAAGTCAAGACAAATGATTCTCCCCCGCCCGCCCGTCCGTCCGTCCCGTCCAGCGGTGGCTCGCGGTGTCCCGCGGTGTTCCGTGGTGTCCCGTGGTGTCCCGTAGTGTCCCGTTGAGTGAAGTCGATAGTGAGATCGATATTGAGATCGATATTGAGATCGATGTGGTGTCCCGCGGTGTCCCGTGGTGCCCCGAAAATTGAGATCGATAGTGAGAGCGACAGGTGTTCCGTCGTGTCCCGTGGTGTCCCGTTGAGTGAGATCGATTGTGATATCGATAGTGAGGTCGACATGGAGATCGATGTAGGGCCCCGAGGTGTCCCGTCGTGTCCTAAAAAGTGATCGACAGTGAGATCGATAGTGAGATCGACAGGTGTCCCGTGGTGCCCCGTGGTGTCCCGTAGAGTGAGATCGATAGTGAGATCGATAGTGAGGTCAATAGTGAAATGGACGTGGTGTCCCGAGGAGTCCCGCGGTGTCCTATGGTGTCCCGTTGAAAGAGATCGATAGTGAGATCGACAGTGATACCCGTAGTGATATCGAGAGGTGTCCCGCGGTGCCCCGCGGTGCCCCGTGGTGTCCCGCGGTGGCCCGTGGTGGCCCGTGGTGTCCCGTTGAGTGAGATCGATAGCGAGATCGATAATGGGATCCACAAGTGTCCCGCGGTGTCACGTGGTGTCCCGTTGGGTAAGATCGATCGTGCAATCGATTGGGTCAGATGTTGCGCCCCCCCCCCTCTCCCCCCCCACACACAACCTCCTTGTCACCAGAAGGGTGGCCGTATAGGTATAGTTACCGTTATATTTCTCTCCTTGTTTTCACTTGGAATGCGAGTGGCCTCTTCGCTGCCGTCGTCTCATCTTCCCTGCGCGCTTCACGACGGCACAAGAAGATCTCGGCGTACTCCCGTCGGGCGATCATTTTCTGTCTGCAACAAAACGCGGGGCCGCCGAGGATGCGGACGCAATGCGTCGCGACCTTCGCGGGGCGAACAGTAGGTTCTTCATCCCTACCTTGTCTGCTCCTTCTTCACGGACATTCGGCGCTTTAATATTGATCCTCGGGGATTTCTGTTATCGTAATGCATAGGTGCACGTGGGTCTCCTCGGGTTCTCACTGTTCATCTCCCAGCGTCTGGCCTGCCCACCTGGGCTTCCAGTCACTCCCTGCGGCGTATCGAAGAGGCGCTGACAGACGCGGGGAATGGCGCGCCTCTGATCGGGGGCGAGTTCAATTTTTCTTTGGAGGAAGACGGGGGGCAATGCGGCAACGGCTTTCGACGGCGCCCTCCGTTCGAGGATCTTCCGCCGGATTGATGCGCCAGCATGCCCCTCCTCATTTGGAGATTCACAATGGGGCGTTGTTGCACGCGGCCCGCCTCGACCTTCTCTGCTGCGCCAATCCTGTTGCTATTGTCTGACTTCTCTGTGGTAGGTCTGTCGCTGGGAAGGCTTCTCTGATGGGTGGCGTGTCTGACCAGGTTCCATCGTTCGCTTCCTTTCGAAAGCACGCGTTGGCGGGCCGGTTGCATTCGATCTTCCAGGCCGATCTTGAAAGTTGCGCTCAAGGTTCTCAAGCGATCAGAGGGCGAACAGCTCGCTCTGGCGAAGACACGCACGCGGCAGGCTCGCGCTCAGCAGTACGAGGCGGATGGCCCAGGTGCCCCTGGATAGCTTTCCGGGGGCTCAGAGGGCTGCACATTGGAGGCCGGCGCCGCAGGGTCGCCCTGGAGCTCGTTCTGGCTTCCTGAGGGAAGCGTCGCCGCGACTCCAGCGAGAATGCAGAGCGTCTCCCCATGCGCGCGCCGCCGAGTTCCAGGAAATCCAGCGGCAGCGCCTTCCACATGCTTCCGAAGCTCCCTCGCGGCGGCGTTTCCGAGCCCCGCGACATCCCCTGCCGGTCGTCTAGTGCCGCCATCATAGGCAACCAGAGGGGCCATCATAGGCACCTCGCGCCCAATTCGGGGCCATCAGCAAGGCTCGTTTTGGGAAGAAGGACCATCATAGGCCTTCGCGCTCAATCTGCTCATTGAACTCAACTTTCTCGTCGTCGTCCTCCTCCTCTCCTTCTCCTCCTCCTCCTGGTTCGCCCTTGCCCTCTCCCCCCCCGGTGAGGACCATCATAGGCCTTACCAGTGAGGACCACCATGAGGCCTCACACCCCTCGCAGTTTCCATCATCGGAACTGCGGGGGTCGAACCAAATCCCCACAAACCTGGCACCGTACGTGCAGTGCCAGGGGCGGCGGCCCGTCTTCCCATCTTACCATCATCGGAGGATGCGAAGTCCCTGAAGACGGGACGGGGTGGGCACGAGCGGGCATCATAGCCGGCTCAAAATCAAAAGAGGCATCATGCCTCATCAGTTTAGATTGATCCACTCACGGATCCACTGCAATTCGTTTCCATTGAATTCATTCCATGCGTAGCATGCTCACCCCTCGAACCCTGGCCCCGACGCAGATCCACCTTGGGATTGCTGGCTTCTGCGAAGCACTCCGCCTTGAGGACTCGGGGGTCGCTTGCTTCGGCGGCAAGTTGCACCGCGCATCCCGCTAGGGATGGGAGCTCGCCCGGGAGGCCCATCGAGCATGGCCCCCTTCGCCCTTGCATTGGATCCGCGCGCGCGGCTGGCTCCCTGCTTCAGAAATTCGATGGTGGTTTGGGGCTTCGAGCTTGCGTGCGGATCACGCGCGCGGGCCCGCGGTGGTCTGCC